GATGCTATAGATTCTATTAATGCTCTTTTTTTAATAAATCACAATGTGTAATTATTTATCAATTACATAAACATTACATCATTAGTTATTTAATTAACCAAAAAATTACATCTTTATTAATAAAAATTTAATTTTTAACCAAAAAAATTATATATAAACTAAGCAAACGGCAAACGTGCATTGCACGTTGCTTAAACCTAGTAATATAAAATGGAGACATTCCTCCTACTAATGAATTTGACAAAAAAATCTTAATCCTTAATTTAAGTTAATCTAATGGTCTATAAACTAGATGTATTAAAGCCTTTATTAAAGTGGAATTGGACGTGGGTATGGTGGTTTCAAAAGGTTATAATGCAAAATATTGCATTATCTTAAATTATGGTTATGAACATTTGTCTAATTCAATGGCAGGAAGAACGGTTTCCATATAAAATATAACAATTTTAAGTCAAATTTTCTCTCCGTAAAATAATCTTATTTCCAACATTGGTAGTATATCTCATTTTAAATTCTTTCAATTTGAACAAACAATAAGAACTTATTAAGGCCATGTTTGGGCCGGATTAAAATCTGATTTTAATCTAAATCAAAGTCAAACAATTAATATTAACTACATCTTTCATGGATCACACATCTTTTCAACCACATTTCAAAAATTTCTATCACAATCCACTAAAAATCTAATTTTAATCTCCACTAAACACGCTCTAGGTATTGTGGATTAAGCAATGAAAGAAACAACTATGCATTGAACAATCCAACAAATTGGAAGTTAAAAAAAAAAAAAAGTATTCTTAGCCCTTGTTTGATATAGATTAAAATCTGATTTTTAATAGATTTTGATAAAAATTAATGAAATGTGTGGTTAATACTTAAAAAGTTGTTGTCCCATAAAATATATAATTAAAATTAATTGTTGACTTTGACTTAAAATTTTAATTTAATTTTAATCCGAACCAAACATGGACTTAATTTAAACTTTTCTTGTAATGCTCCTTTCATTGTTATATCATTTATCGCATGACATATGAAGGTGAAGTCGCATGCCTCCCTCCTAAATTTGCTTTCGGCATGCAAAAATACCCTACCAAAAGTAGGGAAATAAAAATTGTTGGCCAAAACAAAACGTACGTTCCAAGTTTGCAAAAAAGAGGGAAAGAAAAGAAAACAGAATTGCAAGAAAACATTAAAGCCATATTTGGGAGGGATTAAATTTTTGTACATTAAATCAATTCTCATTTTCAACCACACATTCTTCAATAAAATAATATTTTCCATCACATCAATAATTTTTTCTTTTTTTTCAACCACACATTTCCTATCATATCACTATTCAAAGTCAATTCTTTCCTCAAAAATCTCTCCCAAATTATCTTTGAAAAAAATACTGAAAATGGGTAAGATAGCTACAAGCATGAATGGTTGGTTGGATTTAAAAAGTCTCCCACTATGTCACCCATCAATTGTAGGGTTCAGAATGAGATTATAAAGCGGATTAATTATATCTTTAAAACAATT